TCACCTCATTAACTCCCCACAGTCACCTCATTAACCACCCATAGTCATCTCATTAACCATCCGTAATTACCTCATTAACCACCCGTAATCACCTCATTAACTACCCACAGTCACTTCATTAACCACCCATATCAACTAACCACCCATAATCACCTAATTAACCACCCATAGTCATCTCATTAACCAGCTGTAATTACCTCACTAACCACCAATAATCACCTAATTAACCAGTCGTAACTACCTCATTAATCATCCTTAGTCACGTCATTAACCAGCCATAGTCATCTCATTAACCAGTCACAATTAGCTCATTAACCACCCATAATCACCACATTAACCAGCCGTAATTACCTCATTAACCAGCCATAATCACTTCATTAACCACATGTAATCGACTAACCACCCATAGTCACCTCATTAACCAGCCATAATCACATCATTAACCAACCACATCAACTAACCACCCACAATCACCTCATTAACCAGCCATAATCACCTCATTAACCATCCGTATCAACTAACCAACCACCTATAATCCCCTCATTAGCCACTCATAATTACCTCATTAACAACCTGCAATCAACTAACCACCTGTAATCATCTCGTTAACCACCCCATCAACTAACCAATCACCCAGAATCACCTCATTAGCCAGCTGTAATTACCTCATTAACCAGCCGTAATCAACTAACCAACCACCTGTAACCATCTCGTTAACCACCTCATTAACCACCCGTATTAACTAACCAACCACCCATAATCATCTCATTAACTAGATGTTATTACCTCATTAACCACCTATAATCACCTCATTAACCACCCCATCAACTAACCAATCACCCATAATTACCTCATTAACCAGTTGTAATTACCTCATTAAACACCCGTAAAACTCAGAATGAAAAATAAACTCGGAATGAAAAATAAACTTGGAATGAAAAATAAACTCAGAATGACAAATAACCTCAGAATGACAAATAACCTCAGAATGAAAAATAAACATGGAATGAAAAATAAATTTAGAATTCAAGATAAACTCAGAATTATGCATAAACTCAGAATAAGAATAAACTCAGAATTATAAATGAACTGAATTAAAAACAAACTCTGAATGAAAAATAAACTCACAATTATAAGTAAACTCAGAATTGTAAACTCAGAATTACAAATAAACTGAATTAAAAGTAAACTCAGAATTATAAATAAACTCAGAATTATAAACTCAGAATGAAAAATAAACTCGGAACTAAAAATAAACTCAGAATTAAAAATAAACTTGGAATTAAAAATAAACTTGGAGTGAAACATAAACTCGGAATTAAAAATAAACTCAGAATGAAAAATAAACTCAGAATTAGAAATAAATTTAGAATGAAAAATAAACTCAGAATTGTACATAAACTTGGAATTACAAATAAACTCAGAATTATAAACTTGGAATTACAAATAAACTTGGAATTATAAATAAACTCAGAATTATAAACTTGGAATTATAAATAAAATCAGAATGAAAAATAAACCTGGAATGACAAATAAACTCAGAATGAAAAATAAACTTGGAATTATAAATATAGTCAGAATCATAAACTGGGAACTAAAAATAAACTTGGAATTATAAATAAACCAAATTAAAAATAAACTTGGAATGAAAAATAAACTTGGAATGAAAAATAAACTTGGAATTAAAAATAAATTCAGAATGAAAAATAAACTCAGAATTATAACTAAAAAGAAACTCGGAATGACAAATAAACTCAGAATGAAAAAAACCTCAGAATTGTAAACTCAGAATGAAAAGTAAACTCAGAATGAAAAATAAACTCTCAACTAAAAATAAACTCCGAATTATAAACTTGGAATTATAAATAAAATCAGAATGAAAAATAAACTCGGAATTATAAATAACTCAGAATTATAAACTCGGAACTAAAAATAAACTCGGAATTATAAATAAACTCAGAATGAAAAATAAACTCGGAACTAAAAATAAACTCAGA